TTGATATGTTCCCTTAACTGTCCTTTTCCCTTTTCCTTGAGTTCAGATAGACAGAGCAGATAAAATAAGCTTAAACTGGAACAGAGAGCCTCAAGTCCCCTTCAGGAACAGGAAAGGTCCCTACGAAAGTCCCTTTAATGCAGAAGGCCCTCCTGCCCCCAGTCAGCTCAGAGAACAAAGGGCATCCATGGACTATTTTAACCCATATGAAAATAGAAAATAAGCCTCTTCTTCTTTTTTTTTTTTTTTGAAAATAAGCCTCTTCTTAAAGAAGGAAAACCATGAAACTAGAAACGAGTATTCCTGTAAGAGGGGAATCAGTTTTAATTTAGTAAAACTAAGGAATCACTACAATTTCTGTAACTCAAGTGCAGTAAATTACCTTGATTTGCAGAGCCCTAGAACTTCATTAGCTGTATTATAGCAAGTTAGGCTAGAATCAAAGGTCTCCATGCAAACTGCGCCAGGCCACACCCTGAACTGTCTCTTAGGTCATCTATCCCCAACATCCAGTGAGATACGACCACACTCAAAATACAGTCACTTAAAATAGACGTTCTAATCCTGTATTTGTGTGGTTAAGATTTGTTAATGATGTATGTTCTCTAAGATCATGAAACATGACTGCTCCAGGACTTACTGGTTGGCGGAGGTTCATCCAAGGATTCACAGTGAATCTCCAGGTTTTTCTGCCACAACTAAAGGCACAGGGTTCCGTTTTTATTTTAAAATCTCAGAAGAGTTTCTGGAAATAAAAACAGCAGCTTGCTGGTCTTTCTTCTACAACAGCTTAATATATAGATGCTAATAGTTTCTGAACCTAAACGGGACAAAAACCCTGACAATTAGGCAGTAACACGGCAGCTTCAGCGACTGGGCCGTGGGCAGATGAACCCACTTCAAGTTCAAGCTGTAGTGTGTACCAGGCGCCTGCCTCAGATTCTGACTTAACCCATCTGGGGTGGTATTCACAAGTCATGGTTTTAATTTAAATTAAATTTTGTCACTGTTCTAAATAAGCGCTGAGGTGGGTACAATACTGGTCTTAGTAATCAACAATGATCAACGGGGTTCTTTTATGGGTGGCTTTTCTTCATGTTTTTCTCTACTTGCCAGTTTGTCTATGATGAATGCACCTGGCTTATTTATTGGGTTTCAGGTTTACAAGAAGATACTTCTCAGTTCACTATGACTTAACTAAGCAAAGACCCCTCTCTTGTTCTATTTAAATCGTCCCCTTCCTCCCTAATCCCACTCCTTGCACCTGACTCGAGGAGCAGAGCGGGCAGGTTACAGACTGTGTGACAGGGACACCAACTCCCAACACTGCCCGTGCTGCCTACGGGCCAGGTAGCCCTGCTCCAGGGGCCTGAGTTGCACCAGTGAAGCTTAGCCTCACAACTCTGTGGGTTCTGCTATTGCATCCATTTTACACGTGAAGAACTTAAGAAGGTTGAATCGCTTGCTCAAGGTCATGCAGAGTTGGATTGCTCTATATAAATACAAGTTCCCTAATATTGTCCAGAAGATGGCTGGCATGGTTCCACCAGCTTATACTCTTACCCACATGCCTGACCATTCTGATTTTTCCTGGCCTCACCATAACTGGCATTATCTGCCTATTTTTCACCAGTTTGACAGATACAATGTGACACCTCCCTGGTGATTTACTTTGCATTTCTCTATTAGCGAGGTTGAACATCTTTTCATAGGTTAGCCACATGGGCTTCCTTCTATAAACTATTCATATCCTTTAGCACATTTTTCTACCAAATACATTTTCTTACCGACTCGCAAAAATTCCTTGCATGTTCTTGATATGAATCCTTTGTTTTATAAGCTCCAAATATTTTCTCCCAATCTGTCACCTTATTTACAGCTAATATGACAACAGGATCATACTGGACAAACCATTAGAACAAGATAAGGGAGTTCAATAAGGTAATGGATGTAAGTCTTAAAAATGAATGCAGAGCTATTTCATAAGGGGAATAAATGTTTAAAAACTGTTAATTCTCAAATTAATTCTATAAATTCAAAGCAATTTCAGTAAGAATACCAACAGTGTTTTCACTGATCTTGACACATTGATCCTAGAATTCATAGAGAAGACGAGTTAGGACAGCTAAGGCAGATTTGGAGAACAATATGGCATTGGAGATACTGTGGGTTTGATTCCAGACCCCCGCAATAAACAGAGTCAAATGACTTTTTTGGTTTCCCAGTGCATATAGAAATTGTCTACAATATTGTAATATATTAAGTGTGCAACAGCATTATGTCTAAAAAACCAATGTACATATCTTAATTAAAAAATACTTCATGGCTAAAAAATGCTAACCATCATCTGAGCTTTCAGCGAGTTTTTTTTTTTTTTTTTTTTTTTTTTTTTGCTGGTGGAGTTTTGCCTCAATGTTGATGGCTGCTGACTGATTGACTGATCACGGTGGTGGTTTGCTGAAGGCTGGGGCGACTCTGGCAATTTTTAAGATAGGACAATGAAGTTTGCCACATCAATGGACTCTTTCAATTACTCGGTAGCACGCAATGCTGTTTGGTAGTGTTTTATCCATAGGACTTCTTTCAAAATTAGAGTCAATCCTCTCAAACCTTGCCATTGCTTTGTCAATTAAGTTTATGTCATATTCTAAATTCTTTGTAGTCATTTCAATAATCATCATGGCATCTTCACCAGAAGTAGATCCCATCTCAAGAAACCACTTTCTACACTTCTAGTTCTTTTGGTATTTCCACCAGCTCAGCAGTCACTTCCTCCCCTGAAGTCCTGAACCCTTCAAAGGCATCCATGAGGGTCAGAATCAACTTCTTCCAAACTCCTATTCATGCTGCTATTTGGACTTCTTCCCACGAACCCTGAGTATTCTCAATAACTTCTAGAACGGTGAATCTTTTCCAGAAGGTTTTCAATTTACTTTGCCCAGATCCATCTGAAGAACCACTATGTGTTCTGCTATATCCTTACGAAACGGATTTTTTTCATTTTTTTTAAAGATTTTATGTTTAAGTAATCTCTATGCCCAGTGTGGGGCTCCAACTCACAACCCCGAGATCAAGAGTCAGAGCCAGCCAGGTGCCCCACAAAATGTGTTTCTTAAAAAATAAAACTTAGAAGCCAAAATTACTCCTTGATCCACCGACTAGAGAATGAGTGTGGTGTCAGCAGGCATGAAAGCAACATGAATCTTGTTGTCCACCTCCATCAGAGCTCTTGGGTGAGCAGGTGCATTGTCAGTGAGCAGTTATCTATCTATCTATCTATCTATCTATCTATCTATCTATCTATCTATTTTTCTGAGCAGTAGGTCTCAACAGTGGGCTTAAAATACTCAGTAAACAGAGGTGCTGTCATCCAGGTTTTGTCCCATTTCTAGAGCATTAGGGTTTTCGGAATGGGAAATGAGCACTGGCTCCAACTTAGTCACCAGCTGCGTGAGCCCTTGGCCAGAGAGCCAGCCTTCCTCAGAAGTCAGGCATTGACTCCTCTAGCTATTGAAGTCCCAGATGACATCCTCTTCCAATATAAGGCTGTTTTACCTACATTGGAGACAGCTTCTTTCCTTAAACCTCATAAATGAACCTCTGCTAGCTTCCAACTTTTCTTCTGAGGCTTCCCCACCTCTCTGTCTTCATAGAATTGAAGAGAGTTAGGGCCTTGCTCCTCAACGGGCTTTGGTTTAAGGGAATGCTGTGATTGTTTTGTCTTCTTTTCTCCATCTCAGCCATAAGGCTGTTCTGCTTTTTTATCATTTGTGCGTTCACTGAAGTAGCATTTTTAATTTTGAGAACTTCCCTTTTGCATTCACAACTTGGCCAACTGTTTGGTGAAACAGGCCTACCTTTTAGCCTATCTTGGCTTTTTGACTAAGCTCATTTCTAGCTTTTAATTTAAAGTGAGAGACCTACAACTCTTCCCTTCACTTGAACAGAGAGAGGCCACTGTAGGCTTATTAACTGGCTTAATTTCAATATTTGTGTCTCAGGGACAGGGAGGCCCAAGGAGAGGGAGAGATGGAGGAATGGCCAGTTGGTGGAGCATTCAGAACACACACCCATTTGCTGAACTGTCATCTTATATATGGGCGCAGCTTGTGGCGCCCTCTAACATTACAGTAATAGCAAAGATCACTGATCACGTATCACTACAACAAACACAGTAATAATGAAAAAATCTGAAATACTGAATTACCAAAATGTGACACACACACAAAGTGAGCAAGTACTGTTGCAAAAATGGCGCCGACGGACGTGTGCGAAGCAGGGTTGCCACAAACCTTTGGTTTGTAAAAAATACGGTATCTTTGAAGTGCAAATATGCTTGTCCTGGCTCAAAGACAAACTACTGATGAAAGAGAAAAGGGAACCCAGAAACTGAGCATGCACCTATGGAAAGCTCCCGCCAGACAAAGGTGGCGTTGTGTGAAGTAAAGACAGGTTGACCCCATCGGAGAATTGTCACTCTCTTTTGGTTCCAATATAGGGACACTGAAAATTTTCAAAGGCCGTTAGAGAGGTGAGAAAACTGTTGAAAACCAGTTCTTAGAGGCAAGCTCATGTGGAATTCTTAGGGCATAACCAACACCTCAGCCAACGACTTAGAGGAGGAGACTCAACACAGCTATTTCTGTACTTCTTACAATTTAATGTCATGTCTTAGAATCTACGAAATACAGTACCTATTAGCAAAGAAGGCCTCTTTGGGGACTGCTCTTATCACACCATATACTTGGGAGTGGGGAGATGAAGTTGGAAATACTGGGCCCATGACCCCTATTCCTCCAGACCCCATCAGTCACCATGCCAGAGCACATCCTCGATACAGGACAGGGAAGAGGAACTGAAGTGTACCCAGAAAGAAGCTTCCTGTGCCAACAAAAACCTTGTCCACTAGTTTAGAATGAGAAAAAGATCAAGTTAGAGCACTTATTTAAAAGTTAATGTTAAAACGTAAATATGGCAACAAATCATCCCCACGCAATCTGTATTGTTAAGTAATTTATTTCAATAGAAATATTTCAGAAAACTGTACTTAAATTCATTTTAAGTTAGCTTATGCAAACACACTGAAGATCTCACACTCACATTTGCATATTACACAGAAATAATAAGTGAGAGAGGAACCAAGCTGCACATCACTCAGGGAGGTCATAGTGCAACTGAGTGCTTCATCATTAGAGTACCTCAAGTTAACTGGGATAAAGAAGAAGAAAAATGGCTTGTGTTTTCCTGCATATTATCATCATTGGATATTTACCCCCACAGATGTTTATCTCCTTTAGATTACCTTGTGAACGAGTTCCCATCCCCTCCCCACACATACACACTTCAGTGGGCTGTAAAACAGTAAATTTGTCAGTGATTAAGATATAGAAGCTCTTTGAGAGTCTGGTGACATAATAAATCAGCTACTGTGTCAGACCTGGTAAGTCAATAGTTATTGGACTATATTTGTGAATAGTCCTAATAGGTGATGTTATCTTTAGGGGAAACTGAATACTTGTTACCTGGTATCTAAAAAGCACAGGTAATACTTATGAAATTTTCAGCTGGTCTATTAAAAAAAAAAGTTCAATCCTTTCAAAGCACTCTATGCATTCCATTCCTTTAATTCCATCACCATTTTGCAGGCCAAATGACTAGAAGGAATATTTAAATTCTGCTAATAACCCTCAAGGATCAGTCAACCCTTCATTTGGCTTTAAAGACTAAGTCTACTTCCCTATTCTGGAACATACTGGCCCTTAAAAAATGTGAAAATAGCATCTTGACTCAGTTGAACAGTAGTTTCAGATCTTGCAAGGGTCTCAGAGAAGCAAAATGTTTCCAAGTTTTGTTTTGACTAAGAAAGCTAGTGTAGTCTCTTAGCTTCCCTCAAAATTTATATATTGGAGTTGTTTTCACTTTCCTTCCATAATATTTCCAAGGAAACAGTATCTGGTAGGTTAAGTGACTGCCTGTTTGTTCTGAGTCTTAAATATAAGAATGAACCAATCTAAAATCTCATTTTTGGTCAAGTCTCATTACAAGATTTCAGCAGCTTTAATAAGACCCCAACAAATCTTTCTGGCTGTAATGTATTCTTTTAGGGATTTTCTGAAAGGCCTTATAATTAAATCGATGCTCAAAACATCATCATCAACAACACAACATAAAAACAAACTCAGCTGGATGGACGCTCTTCAAAACTGTTTTTAAAAATGCTCATCTAAAGGTTGATTTGGGTGGGTTTATTTTTAATCTCCTACCCCGGCAGGAGAGGAGCAGGGAGGGAGCTTGTCTGAAAAGACTCATGACCTGGGAGGGCTGTAACAATGACCTGGAGGCTATCTGTAGACTCTGTGCTCTCTTACACTTGCTGGGACAAAGAGTAAGAAAGAGTAAGCTGGTGGAGAGAAGGATAGCACACACTCCTGACATAAGAGGAGTAAGAGGGCAAATGATTATCATCATACTCAATGCCCTAAAATTGGTCTTCAAATTGTTAAGGCACTGACCAAATTTTCCCCACACTACAACTTGAGATACTGGTGTAGTGAAATTCCTTTCAATAACTGTAAGAGTTTGCATGCACAGATCTTTCATCAGAATCCTCTAAATGGGAAAAAAAAAATAGTCACTTTAGTTACAAGCCATTTTTAGGGGAGCAGGACCAAAAAGGACTTACTTAGATCATTTTGAAAAGGTTGACTTCACGTGAAAATAATGCTCATCAATGTGATTAAGTAACAGTGTATCTCAAAGCTTAGAAAAAAACAGAATACCACTCTAGCTGTAAAATCATACATTTACTATGTTTGAAAAAAGTAGTACAAAAGGGGAGAGAAAATGAAAGCAAGCCCTAGAAGGTCACTGAAAAGACCAGGCAAACCTCACCACGTGCTCTGTACTGTCTGCTTGTGCAACAGCAGCACCATGGTTCCACTGGGGCCCCGGGCGAGCTCATCTTCGCTTTCAAAAAGGGATCCAAGGATTTCAAAAGCCTCTGAAGCAGAGGATTTCTTTTATTAAAGATTATCTCTTGGAAGCAACACTGCTCCTCCTTGTTGGCACAAGAAGGTAATATGGTGGTTTAAAGACTGGGTGGAAAGGAATGTGCCTCAGAAAACAAGAAAGAAATCAGCAGTGGATATATTCTTTTAAAAAGTTAATGGATGAAGTCTACTATTATTATGGATTTCCAATGAATGCCTTATAGTTTTGCTTTCAGTTGGAACGGTGTATAGCTAGCTTACGGGTTTAAGCTCAGAAGACTTCCGAGCGCACGTGGCCAGGTATATTCTAGTAATCCCAGGGCCCCCAGGTTCAGCTAATCCGTGGAGTACGTACACCACAGACTGCGACCCCTTGCCCCTCTGTAAGCACCGTGCTCCTTGGGCTCTTCTGGAAGGCATTTCTAGACGGGCAATAAAGCCACTTGCAAAAACCTGGGAGCGATGAATCCCCTAACTCTTGACATTGCCATTTTCTACAAAGGAAAACAAGTTGTCCTTGAAGCACATGCCCAGGGAGGAAAAAAAAAAAATCAAATCATTTGGATCCCTTTTTGTAATGTTTATACAAATAATATTTACATAGTGAAGAAAACGCTACAGAAAGGTGTGTTTGATCAGTTCTCTTTCAATTCTTATAGTCTGGAGATTACAGTAAAAACAGTATCTTTGAAAAAAATAAAGCAAAGGCCAAACACAGAGGGGGCATGAAACCAAAACTAGTGCTCTGAAGGTTATTATTATGCAGTTCTTTTTATAGGTGTATTTTTAAAACTGATGTTACTTCTGTATGAAAAATAAGCATCCAGGTTCAAATAAACTGAAATAAATGAGATGTGTCTCAAACCGTATTTTGGCTAGTATTACATACTACTACACCAGGCCGTATAAATGCCCATATTTATGCTTCTCACAAACTAGCTTAAATTTAAATTATAATGGCATTGCTAATGAGTTGTTCTTGGCTAGGAGAGAAACAAATGAGCTTAATATTGATAGAAATTTCAAGCTTTTGAGTCACTAATTTACTAATTTATTAAGCATAAGCTTAATAAGAGGAAAAAATTTCATCTTCCTACTAATAAACTACCTAAATATTTAATATATTTTGGTGACCTATTTTCTTTGCTTGAATTATTACATCATTTGGTGAATTATAGATCAAATAATTCACCTATGCAATTTCAATTCACTTCTCTCACTGGTTTCCATTTGTTTCAAATGCTAAAATCATCTTCAAAAGCAACGTCTAATCTTTTGAATAGACAGATTTGAAGAGAGAACAATGTCTACTTCTACTGTACAGTTGTGTTAAGAGTTTCACTCAGTCAGAGGCCACAGTTCTACATAGGGACTATTCACCAAATTTGAACACTATTCTTTCCCTGTACACGTATCCCGTAATGTTAGAGCTGAAGTATCAAACACATCTTCCAGTTCAGCTCTCTCTTTGGCAAAACTGTGACGTCAGGCTCTGACTTCCAGTTGCGAATCTCCTCAAATATGGTACAATGTATCTACTTTAGCTTATTTATGACAAACAGTAATAAAAAATCCACAGGGTTCTCATCCACAGAATTTTTTAAAAAGCATATACACTGTTAAAAACACTTATTTCTGAAGAGAAATACACAAATTAAGGAATTTTAGAAGATGTAAAACAAAAGAAAGATGTGCAAGGTCTATATAGTAATACTGCTGGCGACGCAGGTGGTGTCTATGTACCCAACGTGGGTTAAGCTTGGGAGATCATTAATTGAAAAATCACTCAGCACAGGCAGCATTTTGCCCTCTCCAGCCCATGTCACTTTCCACAAAACCAGAAATAATGGTATTTCTAACTGTGCTATATGAGAAAAATACCTGAACTCTTAACATCCTTTCCAAAAGCTCTTCTATTTTCCTTTGGATAGACTTTTAGCTAATGATTCTGTGAGCAATATTTTCTATTTAAGTTTCAAGGCTTCAAGATGATTAAAAAAAAAGTATGAAATTCTCTAAGAATGCAAATGTAAGAAATTTTATGTGAGGCCCGAAGTATTACAAGTTTATTGGAAGAGATCAGTCAAAAAGAGTTTCTTCCTCTGGGCCGCTGCTAAAATATAGGATGCCCCATGAGTTTCTAACATCTAACACACAGCCTTTGTTCAAGTGCCATTTTTTGTTAAAACTCTAAGGCAGCTCACCTTTAAACCTTTTTTTTTTTTCTTCTTCTTCTTGCAATTCAACATTTATTCTGGAAATTAAACGCACTGTTGCATGGAAGAGCTCTCCCAAAACAGCTTGGTCTACCACTGACAGAATATGGTTTCATGGCCAGGACCTACAGTATGTTTTCAGAAAAGTGTTTTGTAATAAAGGAAGGTTACATAAGAAGGGAAGTTTTGATACTTAAGATTCCCAGAATCTCAATCTTTCACCCTTTTCCCTTTTAAAATTATTTTCTGTGACTTATAATAAAATACATACACACATACATATGCGGAAGCTCTTTTAAACAAATGTAATCCTGACTCTCATACTTAACAAAAATAACGAAAATGAGTAATAAAAAAAATAACTGGCATTGTGTACATGAAACACTGTAAGAGAAAATATCCTGATGAAGTATCAGTATATCATCTTGACGACAAAAGTCACCAGAGACTGGTAGAAGGGATAATTCAATTCACTTGAAAAAAAATGTAATTACTGTAAAATCTCAGAAAAGTTTAGGTTGGGATTACGGTTCTTTCCTAAGCAGATCTGTGGGTCCAACAATGAATTCATATAGAAGGCTAAATTTTAAACCCAGTTAAAAACAACCATGCTTTCTGGAGCCCACTTGAAAAGAGTGTCTGGAATAGGAGCGCTCAGCCTTCATGCCTCCTGCAAGAAATGATGCTCCCCACCCAGAACTCAATTTCCGAAGTCTAGTGTTTAAGAAAAATCTCCCCTCATTCGAAACAACCCCCGCCCCCAATCCCAAACGAACCCCAACAACTCACATTATGAACATGTCTAATCCCGAAACTCTTTTGCCGTGGGAGAGCCGGGGAGGCTGCAGATGACCGGGAGCGGAGAAGCCCCCCGGGGCAGGCGGGGCATCTTCACACCTCCTTTCTACACCAGCCCCTCACATAACTCCTAAGAAAGATGTTTTCCTTTTTAAGTGGGTCTAAAGAAAGGAGCTTCCCCCTCCAAAATTAGTACAAAGGTAAAAGAAACGCAAATGGGCTACGATCTATTCCAAGCACAGCACCGCCAGACGATGCACAAACACTATTTGGTGCTTCATGTTGGTTTTCCTTTCGTTCGTTTAAGGCAGTGGTTTCCGCAGGTCAGTTCAGAGAAAAGCAGCGCGGTCCATGGCAGTTTGTGTAGTGACTCCAATGTGTTCTCTGGGAATATCTCACTTCATTCCCTGAAATTAGTGCTGTTTTTGGTTCAGAACTCCAAAGGCTTGAGACGCAGCCTCTGGGCTCCTCCTGGCCCAGAACTGGCTCACAGCTGGCGCTCGCGTCACCTCCTCACTCTCACTTAGGGGTGATAGTTCACCTCGTTTCTTTCTTGGGCTTCTACTCAAAAGTCATCAAGTTTGTAGGAACCTTAAAAATAAAAGCAGTACAAAACTGATAGTATTTAAAAGCTGCTTTTCAAAGTACTATTTCTTATCTTCCTTCATCATTTTAAGCCCAGATACTTTTTAAAGAAGTAATTTGACAGAAGGTACTGCAATCATTTATGAATAATGAATAAAATATGCTAGAACATTTTTGAGAAAATCACAGTTAATACTCTCTTTCCAGAAAACTGAAATTGGAATGGGAGAAAGGGCGGAGACGGTATCTTTCTTGTCCAACACAGGGTGCTCAGCAGATGTCCGCTGAGTGAGCAAATGAACAAGAAAAGAAGTGTGGCTCTAGTTAGGGTGACACTCTGACAAACATACTTATCGTCTATTTTCTCAGTCTCTGTTTTACCAGGAATTCCTACATGCACATTTTTAAATCCAGCATGGATAATTTTATAATGAACATTACTAAGAATTTCTTTGTGAAATCATCATGAAAGTAAGTATGAAACAATAAAACTCATCGTTAGATAAATTCTGATCTGACACTTGGTGACTGAAAAATCAACAGGTTATATAATAGTTTGAGGCTTATAGACTGGTTCGAGTTTAATTTGATTCCTTACAGAAATCAACAATAAGACATGAAGTCCACATTGTAGTGAGGAGAAATTCCACAAGAATTCTTTGAAATATAAGTATACTTTGTTTTTGAAAATCAGCTGATGAGTCCTCTAGACAAGGACTAAAGAGGGTTTCACCATGTTAAAAAAAAACTCTTAACCCTTACTGTTTTCTGAAGTTGTGCTGGGAGAGATATTCTCACTTCAGTGGTCATTTCTCTGTCCTTTAAAACAGCTTAACAGCTATCACTTTAGTAATCTTTTTCTGAAAACCTAGAATATTCAAGAAAAAGGGGAGGGGGAGTCTCTTACATGTGTCACCTTCTGAATGAAAAGATCTTTAATAATACAATCATAATTGAATCATAAATCAAATACAATACAAATGCTCAAGTGCTTAAAGTATAAATTCTCAGGTCTGGTTATAAGAAACCCATGTTTAAATAAAGTATAAGTTCATTTCCTCCTAAGTTCCTTGAATATGATTTAAGGTATTATACTTGAGTGAATCAGAGGCTTCTACCAAAAATTTTCACATTTCACAGCTTCTATTTATATATTTGCTACTACTCTGATTCTCCCAGTACAGAAAGAAACAAACAAATAAAACCCACTTATACACATTTGGTTGACTTGTTCACCTTTATGTTGGTATGTATACACTGTCTAGATTAATCTTGAAATCTGAGATTAAAATAAAAAAAGACAATACTTTAAGCACACTTAAAGAATGTAAGTTGAGTTGCACATAAGCTTAGTCTATTCACTCTGTCCCAGGCCCTAACTTGACAAAGGCAAGAAAGTAGTCTGTTCTATGGCGTTTCATGCCCTTAGTGGAGGGTGCTAAAAATGATACCAAATACTGCTATCAGTCTTTCATATATATATTTGAAATAAAAATTCTAAGAGAACAAAGCCTATTCTTTTTTTTTTTTTTTTAAAGATTTTATTTATTTATTCATTAGAGACAGAGAGAGAGAGAGGCAGAGGGAGAAGCAGGCTCCCAAGGAGCAGGGAGCCCGATGCGGGACTCGATCCCAGGACCCTGAGATCATGACCCGAGCCGAAGGCAGACGCTCAACCATCTGAGCCACCCAGGCGCCCAACAAAGCCTATTCTAACAATATTTAAAAAGAATGGACCTAAAGATAAAGACATTTGCTTGTTTGACCCTGTGTAGGTCATTTAGCATTTCTGAAACTAGTTTCTTCCTTTATCAAAAAGGGGTAAAACTCTGGTCCTGACAGCACAGGGTGAAAAATACTTTTAATAAGTGATATAAACTTATATGGTGTATTGTATTATTCACAATTAGCTACGGATAACACTTAACTGTACACTTCTGAATTTTAGTACCTGAAATCAATGGTCTTCAAATATATTCAACTAAAAACTGGCCTACAAAAAGTCTACACATATTTCCATAACTGCAGTTATGTTTATTTTACGTCTGTTCTACCAATCCGTGGCTCAACTTTAGATCTGCCACAGGGTTTGGGGAAAACAACACCATGGCTTCATTTCTCCTCTGCAGCTGAAAGCCTTTGAATTAGACCATCTTTGTTTCAGTGAAATAAAAACAAACAGATCCAAATGGCTCTGGGTTTTGCTGCAACCACAGGAACCTACTCAGGTTATTAACAGAATAACGATGAATCAGAATAATGTTTATTAAAGTGCCATCTAAGTTTTACGCCCCTGGAGCTCTATTTCTTTGCCTCTCACTATTTTCTACCGACATGGGCAACATTTGCCTCTTTTGAACACCTTAAGCTCCTTCCAGCTTCAGGACCTTTGAACTTGCTGTGCCCTCCAGCAGACCTTAATCTGCACATGGCTGTTCCTTCTTGTCACTCACGTCAATGTCTTTGGGGAGATCTCTGCTGCCCACTCTTATTTATTTAAAGTTGTGTCTACTCTCATCACTCTGTATCACATAATTCTATTTTGTTTTCCATATATATGTATGTATATATAGTTCTGTATATAGTTTTCAGCATTTGAAATTTTATTTGTTCATTATTTTATTGACTATCTCCTCACTAAAATGTGGACTTCATACTTGCCGACCGCTGTAAGAAAAAGAATAAAAACAGTATAATTTTCCTTCTTCATTCATAAAATTAGTCTGTTTACTTCCCTTGGAACTCTTTTAAATACAGTCCCAAGCGACGGACCATCCTGAGGACCGAGAGACACTGCTCACCTGCTGCTTGTTGCTTTGGCAAGCTGCGCTCAAATGCTTGAACCACAGCATCGCGTTCATTCTGTTGCCAGCTTGAAACTTGTATGAGTTTCCTAAAGTTATTAAAAACAAGGGGAAAATGATAAAATTTTAAGGACTCTGACATATAATAATTCAGTCATATATCAAAGAGCAAAATGAAACATGACTAGAATTCTGAGTTTCAGAATTCTCTGTCTCTAGCACCTGATTTTCTAATACAAATAAAAAGAAGAGTTCTCAATGCTATGCTCACATGGTATCATTTATTCAGAAAGTCACCGTTTTGCTGCTTATGAATTGGAAGAGAAGTATTCTTGTCTCCTTAAATATTCTTTAGAGGAAAGTATACCTAAATAAAAGAATCGTTTGGCTCCCCTAGATTTGTATGTGGGACTGAGTACAGAATATGTTAATATTAAGTTTTTACAGGCAAAATGCTTTAACACGTTTAACATTGAAACATTAGGTATGTAATATGATTAAGGATCAATATCAACCATGCTTTTAGGTGTTAGTTACGTTTGCTGAAATTATCACGGATTTCTGGGTCTACTGAGGGATTTCTGGGAAAATCTAAAGACTCACTGATTCCTCTTTTAGAAAATTAGAAACTCATCCGTGTTGTGTATATTTAGAACTTATGTTGACTAATTCAAGATTGACACATAATAGATAAATCTTATATGGTTGTATGTATTAAGGTGATAAACTGAAAAAACAAAGGATTCATGTACTGAAGGCTGCCCTAAGTTGAGCTTTATTCCCTTTTTTCATTGACCTAAGTTTTTATTTCCCAATTTGTATCGAATTCTACTCTCTCCTTTATAACTGCATTCAACGGCCCAAGAGTCTGACCTTTCTTTAGGCATGACAGAGCTTTCCTTTGAGACTGGAACACTCAGAGAACTTTTTTACTTTCAGAAGCAACAGTTTCGTCACCAATGTTTCATGTTAAATAATACTGTTTTACTTGCTGAACTCAGATGTGGACATTAGAGCAATCTGAATTGAAGGCGTATCTACAATTAAGCTGGCCATAGCTGCCATTTGTCTACTTTCTCCTCCCCCTCCAAAAGACCATTTGTACAAATGTTACAAAAACCTTGGTTACTTGGAAAGAGTCCCATCAAGCTACACTAGGGAAACTGAAAGAAAATAAAATGTTAACTAAGCCCAGTGAAAATGATCTCCTTAAAATGTAATTTTATGAATAATGCCTTTGGGATTTGGGGTTGGGACAGGGACTCCTAATTCAGAATGCTGAGCAGGGAGTTCTTACTCTGTAAGTCAATCTAGTTCATCTCAAAATGAGACATTTTCCTACTATTATTTTTTTTCCGTATCCAATATATTTGCTTAAGTTTTCACTTAAAATGCTGTAATATCCTAAAAGCGGAATATCTGTTGCTATAAAATACATTCTGAATAGAGGTGAAAATGTAACTGTACAGTCAATAAACAGAATTTCGGTGGTGAGTTGCTGCAGTGGCAGATTCTGGGCAGAGAGGAAAGAATTTCCCGTCTGGCTCCCTCTGAGGTGCTTATCAACATGCAGGAAGAGCAGCAATCACGTCAGGCTGCGTTCTGACGGCCACCTGCGGCCTCCGCTAGAGATGCACAGGGTCTGATTCTACACGCCCACCCTCCAACTTCTCTGATCCACTTAAAAAACTCCACTGGTCAAGAGTCAATCATTTCCTTCATAAGCCTCTCTCAATATTGTAAGCAAAGTATTCATTATGAATTATACTTATTTGGAAAGCGATAGGAGTTAAATAACATATTAACCTCATTAAAAATAATGGACTAAAAATCATTTAGAGGAAAACCTCTGCCACATTCAGAACTTAAGCATAACAATTTATTTGAGGGTATAGACGAAGGGGTACTACATATATAGCAGATGTCTGAGGCTTTAAAGTAACTGATTCTCCAGTGCCCTCCTTCCTTCCCTCTCTGCCTGGTTCTTAGCTCCTTAAGGATTACCTGGGCTTTTAATTTCAAGCTTATGCCCATGCAGCAAAGAAAATATGCTTATAACAGATATTGATACCAGAAATATTGATATCATTACTCTACATTATGAGAGAGAATTATTTCCCAAGAGACAAAACTACAAAAACATGTTCCTGGTCAAGTATTCTAGTTAAACTATGTTTGGACCAACTGAACGTTATGTCCTCGCAATAGCTTAAACCCTAGATATGCTAATGATTCACCTTTCTCAGAGTCAGTCAGCAAGAAGAGATCTGGGTGTTCTGGGTCATCAGCCATCATCACCATCCATCCTACCACAGATACGTTCTTATTTGATGTTGATTTGAACTGAGAGATAAAAAGATCATTAATGGAAACACAAAATTTATGGCTCATCCTAAGCAAAAATTAAGGATAAGCATATTTTCAGTTTCTCCCGTGAGAGATAATATTTGTGACTTCATGTTGGTTGAGTCTGCTCACAGCCTTTTACTTACTACTAAATTCTATTTAGGCATGCCCTCTTTAGACAGTCTCCTACTCTTCAGATCCTTCCTAGCTTCAACTCTTCATCAAAACCTGTCCAAAGTCTTGATTCCCAAAAAAGCATGATCTGTCGTTGGATCTGATAAATTCATCTCTGTGGGTTTTTTCTGTTCCTTACTACACTCCCCCGAACCCCTCCCTTATTAGGAAACACACCTACATTTTAATAGAGGTGTTATCTTTTTTTACCCAGCTTTACTGAGATATAATTAACATATAACACAGCGTAAGTGAAGTATACAATGTAATAGGGGTATTACCTGAAACCTGATGATTTACTAAACCAGCAGTGCTATTTTTTTTTTTTTTTTTAATTAGGCTCCATGCCCAGCATGGAGCCCAACACGGGGCTTGAACTCATGACCCTGAGATCATGAGTGAGCTGAGATCAAGAGCTGGATGCTCAACCGACTGAGTCACCCTGGTGACCCAGACAATTCTTAATAATATATTCTTACTTGTATTTCTCAAAAAAAGGTATTCTTAGTATGCTTGTTACTTTTCTATTCTTTTTTTTTAAGTTAAACTTGAAATAAATGTAATGAAAAAAAGGGCTGTTAGAAAAGAACAGAAAATTAGGTTAATTTCATTCGTGACCATAAATGGAAAAATGTTAAATAAAATACTGGTGTATAAAAAAGCTGATAGGGGTGTCTGGGTAGTGCAGTTGGTCGAGTGTCTGACTCTTGGTTTCTGCTCAGGTCGTGATCTCATGGTCGTGAGACAGAGCCCCACGTTGGGCTCCACGCTCAGCATGGAGTCTGCCCGAGATTCTCTCTCTCCCTCTGCCCCTCCTGCTCATGCTCTCTCTTGCTCTCTAAAATAAATAAATCTTAAAAAAAAAAAGTTGATATGAGATGACCAATCTGGATTTATCCGAGGAATGTGAGGTTGGTTTAATGTTAGAAATCAACCAATGCAACTAAGTTGGGTTTATTTCAAGAAAGCAAGATTAGTTCAATCAAGTTCAAAAATTATTTTTTTAACTTCAGAAAAATTATTAAACTAAATCACCATATTAACAGATTAAGAAAGAAAAAAATACATTCAACTCAGTTTACCCAACAAGCTTTTGCTGAAATATAATGTATATTTGTGACAGACTAGGAATAGAAGGGAACTTCCTAATTCAATAAAGAGTAACCACCAAGCAAACAAACAAAACCTACACAAAAACCAAACCAAAATAACGCAGGAAAGATGACAAAAAAAAAAAAGACAGCCCAAAATCAAAACCCTACCACACACACTCAAGGGTAAAATGCTAAAAACATTTCAAAATCAGTATCAAGACAAGGATGCCTATCATTGCTACTTCCATTCAACACAGAATTTGAAGAGACAGTCTTCAAGACAGCTTAATAGGGTAACAAAAAGGAAATAAAAGGTATAAGAGTAAGGAAGAGTAAGGAAGAAATAAAACTGCCATTACTCATGGACAAAGAAAATCCACTCACATCTACCAAATTAGTAAGAATGATGAGCAAAGACACTTGGAAAAGATCAGTATGAAAATCAACTGTAATTCTATACACAAGAACTATAAAAGTCATTTATAAGAGGGGTATCTAGCGATACATGCGACAAAAAATATACGGAAGTAGAACCCATAAAAGGCATCCAAGACATAAAACAATGAAGAAATGCCATGAGATGAAGAAGAAGGTTTGATTTGTAAAGATGTCAATTCTCTCTAAATTGATTTACATAGATTCAGTGTCATTTCAACAAAAATTTCAGTAGGATTTTACGGAACTTGAGAAGCTGATTCTAAAATTTATATACAAGAGCAAAGGAGCAGAAACAGGCAATACACTCCTGGGAAGAGTTAGTCAGGACCTGCCCTAATACACATCAAGACTCATAGAGCTACAGTAATTGAGACCATGGGCTACAGGACAGGAACAAACAGACAGGGTGATGACAGTCAAGAGAGCCATCTGGGTGTAGAGACGCAAATTCGTATGACAAGAGTGGACTCTGCAGACTGATGAAGGAAGAATGAACTGTTCAATAAATGATGCCAGGAAAATTGGTTATCCACGCAGAAAAATCAAGAAAACAAATGCCTGACCTTTCTCTATGCATTTACACCAAAGACTTTTTTGATGCTGTTGGTTTTCATATACAGCTGACCCTTGAACAACATGGGTTTTAACTATGCGGGTCTACTTAAAATGCCGATTTTTTTTGATAAATACATTACAGTGTCTTTTTTTTCTTATGCTTTTCTTAACATTTTTTCTAGCTTACTTTATTGTAATAATACATCATACAATACATATACAAAATGTGTCAACCAACTGTTTATGTTATTGGTAAAGCTTTTGATCAGTAGTAGGCTATTGGTAGTTAAGTTTTTGGGGAGTTGAAAGTTATACACAGATTTTCCACTGCACAGGTGTGGGAGGGAGGTGGCGTAGGTACCTCTAACCTAGTTGTTCAAGGGTTCACTGTACTAATGGGGGCGTATTTGTACTCTTACAGTTTTCACTTATCAGTACTTCCTTATTGGTAAGTATTTTGAGTCTTTATAGATTTCTATTATAAACACTACAGGAATATTCGTGCACTTGTTCAAGGACTTCCACAGGACAGATTCTCAGATAAGGAATCACTGGTTATTATTAGGTTAAATACGGACTAGGACTGCCCACCACAAAAACAATACCAATTTAAATTTCTGCAAATCATGGATAATAGTCTATGTTTCCCTACACCATGGACAATGCTCTACTAACAATCTTCAAAATTTTTGCCTAATAGCAAAAAGGGGCATCTTCTTTAGCCTGCATTTTTGATACCTAATAAGGTTGATCATCTTTTCATGTTTACTAGCCAATTATATTTCATCTTCTATTTATCTCCTCTTTCCCTTTTTCTAATGTCCTGTTTTATTCTGAGCTGTGGAAAGTTGTTAGTTTTGTTACAGATTTCTTTTCAAGCACAGTCTTGGTCTTTAAAAATTTAACTAATTGAATAGTATTTATTCACTCTTTACCATACAGCGATGGGTTCAAACATACCTCCAAAATTTTTTTTTACAATGAATAAACTTCCACTAAAAAACATTTTTACAGTGAATGTTTTCATTTTAAAACATCCAAAAAGGGGCTCCTGGGTGGCTCAGTAGGTTAAGTGTCTGCCTTTGGCTCAGGTCAGGATTGAGCCCCATGTCTGGCTCCCTGCTCAGCGGGGAGTCTGCTTCTCCCTCTCCCACTGCCCCTCCCCACCTTCACTCCGCTTGTGTTCTCCCTCTCAAATAAATAAATACAATCTTAAAAAAGTCTAAAAATATAGACATAATAGGAGTCCCCCTTCGCTCTCCCCAGTTATTCTACCCTGCCAAGCCTATTCTGTTCCTCACAGGCAAAAAAAATGTATGGAGAGTAATAAAACTTATAGGTTTGTAGGCTTCCAGATTTCTTCCTTCTGCATTTATAGACCTAAATGAACAGGTATATTTTCATTAGTAATTTTTTTTCCCTCCAGCTTTCAATTTTGAAAGGTTGAAACTACAAAGTTGAAAGAATGCCACAGTGGTTACCCACGAATCTACATTTTATGCATTTGCTTGATCTTTTTGAAATGCAGACATCATAAAACGGAGTCCTAAATATTTCAGCACGTATAGCCTAAGAATATATTTCTATATAACCACAATATAAGTATCTAAGAAATTTAACAGATACATCATTTTTTATAAAACCCATATTAAAATTTTTTCAATTGTCCCAATTATGACCTTTGTGGTTAAAAAAAAAAAAAAAAAAAAGAAATTACCTCCAGGATTCAACTGAAGTACACATATTGCATTTACCTCTCAGATTCTTCAGTCTCTTTTAATCTATAACAGTCCTCCTGTCTGCCCCCACCCCCCGCCCAGCCCCATCTACCAATTTTTGGTCTTAAGAATCCAAGCCAGTTGTCTTGTAGAACGTCCCACAATCTGGATTTGATTTTTTCTTCATGATTAGATTCAGGTTAAACTTTTGGCAAGAACACTACATAGGTGGTGCTCTGTTTATAGAATACATTTTAATCCTTTATCTGTTGCTTATATATAGCCATTATTTTCTTCTAATAATATAATTTTGTTTGAAAATGATTTAAAAAAGTTTTCCTTTCACTGCTTTTAGTTCTGTGCCACATCTCAAAACTGATTCTATAATATTAACACGAGCCTGCCTCTCTACCCTCTATGTTGTTCTTGTAATTCCTTCTTTAACCCGAACAGTTTTAATTTAAGAAGATTAGGAATATAGTTCATTTCCTTGGCACTCAATTTGATTTCCTTACAACCCAGTATGCTCTAGTTTCATCTGGCTTCTTTCTAACTAAAGTTTAGGAAAAAATAAAAAACATTTAATTTTGAATAGCTACTCCTTTATAATCATCAACTAAGTGAAACTGAGCCAAGCATCTCAAAGTGGCTATGTGAAAAGTTAACTGTATCTGAAGACAAAGGATTTAATTTAGCTATAGCAATCTTTTTTCCTCCCTTTGAGGATAGCAGTATTAATCAGAGGCAATTACTCTGCAAAATGTTTGGGTGGAACTAGTCTGTGTAACTCTGTTGGGTGTGTGAGTATTAGTCACTTTGACCAGAATACAAAAAACAGTCCTTTACCTCAATGTGAGGACTTTATCTAAACAATTGTAAAATAACCGTGGGCAAAAAAGCCAGAACTTCAGGGGTGCCTGAGGGCTCAGCTGGTTAAGTGTCTGACTCTTCATTTCAGCTCAGATCATGATTTCAGGGTTGTGGGATTGAGCCCCAGGTCAGGCCCTGATTCTCCCTCTTCCTCTGCCCCTCCCCCGCCCTTAAAAAAAAAAAGCCAGAATTTGAGAATTTATATGATTCCATTCAGGTACGGTTCAAAAATGAAGCAATGTGTTGTTTAAGGAAACATATATGGTAAACTCTAAATTAGAGTAGAGCAAGGCAATGATTAATGTGAAATTCAGGACAATGACAGGTGTAGGCAAGGAACGAAGGTTGATACTATTTTATGGCACTTACAACATTCATTTAAACCAATAACATACTCTTCTATAAGAATAAAGAAGAGCTTCTCTGAATTATGCAATGTCACTGGATAATTTATACATAGTAAAAGGACTCAATTTTTTTAGTGGATTACCTTTCCTTGGTATGGTAAACTACTTAATTTCACGGCAAAATACCATGACTTAGAAATAAAATTCTTCTCAAGGGGATTTTATTAATGCAACATGGAAAATTTCTTCCTTTCAAAGACTGTATCACTAGCATATAAAAACAAAACAGCATGCAAAAGAGATTTATAGAAGATTCTACATTTGGAGAAAAGTGCATTGAGAGGCTTCTTCTCAATATGCAACACAAAAAAGTGGACTAGAGTAAGCATAGTAACTATTATTCCTCTTCACTGTTGAGAAAAACCACTCCTGAGATTGAGGTGGCAAAGAACTTTAGATGATGGTCCCAATTTTTCACATTTTACAGATTATGAACTGAGACTCCAAAGCAGTAATTTTCAACTACTTTCTGAACAAGAAACCCAGACTTGGGAAGGTTTTGATGCCAAAATAGAGTGGGAATAAGCATTTTTGAGCTTTGATGGAAAAACAGCATTCAAAAAAAGAAACTCTAAATATGGAAGTTATTCCAAGACCTTCCCTGGAATGGTCTTACTAAATAAAAATAATTCTACCGCAACACTCACACAAGGAATAGATGTTAAGAACTTCTGGAATAGAATATGGAAATGATCCAAATTGCTGCATTCCATCAGGACTACTTTCTTTACAACCATGAAGAGGGACTGAAACTCTGCTAGCAGTTCAGAGGAGGAATACTTACATGCTTTCTCTCTGTAGCTTTTAGAGATTTGGCAGCATAGTAAAAAAGCTGTGTCCCACACAGAGCTGCCCAATACTTTGTCCACGATGCCACCTGGAAAGACAAACACAGGAACATACTACCACCGGCTTCTCAGTTTCTTTACTTTCTTAGTGCTGATGACCTTTAGCTCCACTCCAGCCACCTTAGTCTAATCTTAGAGTTGAATCACTGCTGAAATCTTTATCTCCCACATTCCTGTCACTTCCACTGAATATGCTCTACTACTACTTTCATTCAGATAACTATTGGTTTTATCAAAACCCATACCCCTTTTTAACATTATCTACCCTTGCCGCTGCCTCCCCATCCTGTATCCTTCCTCTCCCTTCTTCGTATTTAGCCAATACCACATGGTCCAGCACTATGGCCATTCCCTTCCAAATCCTTCAATCTCACTGTCCCTCTCTCCTATTTAAATCTAACCATCTGATTACTTGGCACATTATAATAACCGAATATTGCTGGAGAAATCACACAATTGTGCCAACTGATAAAATTAGAACCAACAATCTCTTTAGAAATCAATAGTACTTCATTTTTACCCCATGAAGTCATTATCCTCTTTCTCTCTGGAGATAACCATTTCATTCCTTTTCAAAAACCCTAGTACTCCATCCCTTATGATAGCACTGCACACCACCCAGAGAGAAATAGGTGAAATCTGGTGAGGACTTCCTCATCTTCCCTGACCAATTCCATCTATTTGTAGACCCGCCTACTTGGCCTTTCTTCCTGCTGCAACAGAAGAGTTAACGCTGCTTTTATCAAAGGAGAAACTACCCTCCTTTTGCTCTAGATTCCTACTATCTCTCACTCCCTCAAGAAATCTGCTTTTGTCATTTACTCCTCTCTCCACTGTCTTGATTTCTCTCCCTCTCCCATCATTACACAAATGAGGCTTCACAGCACTCTCATCTTTGAAAATCCCTCCACCGCCCCGTCCTCTGCCCCATCAGAGAGCATCCAATTTTTCTGCTCCTGTTCACAGCATAACTTCTTGCAAGGTGTCTCTAATCCCTGACTCTACTTCTCTCTTGCCCATTTTCTCAACTTACTTTCAGTTAGGCTGCTGATGTAAAGGTCACTGATCACTGACATATCCCAAAGCCTCTGTTCTTACCACAGTCAACCTCTTAGCAACATCCGACACAGCTGGCCACTCCTTCCTTCTTGAAATACTTTAACCACTGCGCTTCTCTGGTAACAGTTCCTTCATTTTCCTCTATGCTTCTCATAGCAGACCTTGATGTGCTACATAGTTCTATCCTCGGCCCTCTTTTCTTCCCCAGCTATACTTTCTTCACAGATAATGTCTCACCTGGTCCCATACTTCAAATACCATCTGTATACAAACGACACCCACATCTCCAACTCTGGCCACCACCTCTCTGCTGAACTTCTGACCTGTACTTTTTAGAGCTAAACTGACATCTCCACTTCTATGCCTAAAATGCACATTAAAGTGAAATTAGCTAAGACTTACCGGCCCTTTCTTGAAAAAACTTTCCCTGTTTCAGTAAACATTCCCAACACTCATCCAGCTCAGCCCCCAACCCAGGTACCACCTTCATGTCACGCGCTCTCATACACCGCACCTAATACATCACCAAGCAACCCTACCCGTTCTCTCTGACTTCACCTCCTCCACCTGCTGCACCTCAGCTCCAAAGGCCTTCTCGCTGCCTGAACTCAGATCCTCACATGGCTAGCTCACCTGCCTTGTTCAGACAGCAGCTCAGATGCCTCGCCGTGCTGACACCTCTCCTCATCCTCTCACCTGCCATGCCATTACCTTATTTCAAGGACTTACTTTCTATTTGTCTCGTTGGAATGTCATTTGCACAAGGCAGGCACTGTGCCTCACCTTGTTTGCTGCTCTGTTTCCAGCATCTGACACACAAGAGTGTCATAATGCCTCAACTGACACGCGACTCCTAGTTTTTACGAGCTGGCCTCGTGTGGCTTCTCAACTGTGGCTTACTGGAACGTAAGCAGCAAAATCAGACTGCTCAGCTGTAAACCATTTTTACATTGTAAGAAGCTCTCATATCTTCAAAAGTGTTAAGTTTGGATACACACTGAAGTTTTTATTCCAAACTAGATAAATTATACTATTATTTGAGAAAAGAAAAAAACAAAGTCTTCTTTCTTTAGCAGTCAAACTGCTTGCTGGGGAACAAGAAACTTCTATGTTACATACAAAAGGCTTTGTGCTACTAAACTTCTACCACTTAAAAAAATATAACAATGGTTTGGAGGACATTTAATATCTGGGTTTTGTTTCACGAAGGAAAACAAAACTTCATTACAGAGATTTAAATAAACAACTTAGGACTGACAAAACAAAATTGGCTGCATTCCACTTTTTAGGGTTATTACTCTCAATTCTTTATTTTTCCTAAACTTATTACTAGAATATTTCATAATGGCATATACTTTCAAGGTTCTCCGAGAAATGGTTTTGTGTAAGAACTACATTAGGGGACAGAGAGGAGTACAGGAGCACCTTGATGGACACACCCTCAATGTATGATCTAACTGAAGTCTAAATTAAGAAACACGGTGAGGCAAATGTGCATTTTCAATTATTTCAAGTGTACCATACATCTGGTTTTATTTCATTGTTTTCATATTTTTTAGGGTCCTATATGTTTGCTTATTTTTAGAGGTGTGTTAAAATATAATACGATAATATCTTACTGTAGGCTTTTTGCCTTCTTTTAACAAAGTTTTTCTCCTGAGAACACCTTGAATAGTAACAGCTCCTGGATATAAATGTACTGCCAAATCTTCTGATTCTGCAGAACTATAATAATGGAATGAAGAAAAGAACATGTAAGACCTCTCGTGTATAGCAGTTACAAAGCAGGTACTTAAATGAAATGTAATTACTCTTAGTTTTAAAACTTTGTTCATGTATTTAGCATTAGAAGACAGTGACAATTATAAAGGCTTACTCAGCTGAAATTTATAAGCTGTCATAGAAGTTTAATCAGGAAGTTATTAAAGTCAACAGATGGTTAAAAAACACACACTTTATTACATACTTGAACAAGTATAATTTAGAAAGAATAGAGTAATTCACTTTAGTGAAGATTAAATTAAGGATTTAAGACTTTTCCTTCTTTTTAACATGACACATTTGCATCACTGCTGTAAACTTTTTTCCCCTTAAGATACTTTAAGTCCTGGTAGGAAAGGTGAGGATTCTTTTTGTTAAAAAGTATTTAAGCATACAAACTCAAAATAGAAAGAGCAGAAGCTCAAAAAAAGGAAGAAAAGAAAAAGAAAACCCATGCTTAATTTAATTCTAAAATAGGTGAGGGAAGTAATATAGGCAATAACAACATATTTAAAAAACTAGTGTACTGCAATAAATTTTAATAACATTTAAAAATATGCTATCAATGCATAAGTGTTTGATTATAACCTAACAGCTCTCCAAGGAAGGAAGAACTCCCAAACTCAAGATTTCCTTTTCATGTATCTTAAGAAAACCACCACAAGATAACCAAACATTTAAATATCTTTCCCCAACTGACTTAAGGTCCTATATTTAAAACAACAATAACTTCTACGAGTCAATTAAAACATACACACTAATAAAATTATCTGCCATTCTTTGGGGATCTGACATGATCTGCAGAATTCCTACAACAGGGAAGAACACTGAAGTTTGCCAGCTTATCCCTTTATGATTATTTAGGTGTCTTCAAAGTGACTTAAAAACCTAGAGACCACTAAAATTTTCATGCTATTGCTATTTATATTCAGGGTATACACAAAGAGATTAGACACCAAATTGACAAAAAGTTTACTTCAGAAATTGGCTACTGTATGTGTTGTATTATGAAGTGGCTGATTACCCATTACCAGTAACCTCCAGCCCCACATCAATCTAACATTCTCATTTCCTTCCGCAGCTAATATGGTGCAGAAAGAGACCTGGTTTAACTAATAAACCACTGAACAAAAATGAGTTTAAAAGCACAAACATTATTTACTGAGACTTGTCTACATTCAGGTCCTGCAGTTTATATGAAAAATTCTTAACAAAGATAAATTGAATGGAGCCTTACTAGCAAAGTAAATGTTGTGACAGCAGCCTTTGAATAATGCTTATCCAAGAACCAGCAGCATTACAGAGGCCTGTGCAGTTCTAAGGCCACCAAGTTGGAATTATTCTGCAATTAGCTCAGTGGATCAGAAAGAGAAGTTCAAATTTATCTCTAGATTCAATCTTGGCAAGAAAGCTTTTGTGGGCATTTTTAAACGAATTAGTTGAGAAAGAACAGAGATACTGTGAGATCACACCCATTTAGCCAATCACCAACACCAGAGGGGAGTTCTGTGACCCCTGAATGCAGGGGGATTGTACCTGCTGGCCTTCACGTGGCTTCGATGGCCATTTCGTGCCACTCGTGTCACCGGGCCGAGAGAATGGTATAATCTGTTCCTGTTGGATTCCATTATAAATTGTATATATTACATATGCTTTTATTCACACAATCATCAATACCTAGAACAATGTAATAATTTCTTCCTGTAATACAGCTTTCTAAATTCTACAAAAGGACAGTATGTGGTTGCTCCTCTTTCTTTTAAGCATGCAGCCCAGATTTAAAAAAAGATGTTTTCTTCTACTACTGACTCTAGAAATACAGGTGTTAGGATATACCATACATTTTAGATACATTTGCTCTCACAAATCTGCTAAAATAATTAGAGTTATTTATAACCAGTACTATCAAAACCTGGATAATACTTCAAAAATCCTTTTGTTTCTATTCCAGTTCTTGGAATCCAGTTTAAAAATGATATCTGGATTTATATAAATAACTCATTTTTATTATATGTCCCTATGAAGACACCTAAAAGCAATGTGGGCTGTAAACTTAAAATTAATGTGGCCTAAACACCTATATCGTCCTCTCTATCCTTTTCGTTAAATCCAAGAAAACCAGTAAAAGAGAGAAGCTGAGTAATAAAAGCATTATTTTATTTCTACAACAACTGAAATAAATGATAAAGCCAATAAACGATAAAAATGGTCTGAGATACTATTTATCCAAAATGGCATGTAATACTTAACAGAGGAAATAAACACACACACAAAGAAACACCAACACTTCTTTGCCTGGGAAAAGCCAAAGGTAGCACTGTTGATAAATGTTATTTAAAGCAAAAAAGCATTATTTTAGCAACTTTAGCAGCAACATATTTGATGTCTCTGTAGAAAATAAGGACAGAGGGTGATATGTTTAACATTCAGAGAACTATTTTCAAATTCACTATCTACAAGCAGTATTTTAAAAATCCTAGTTCTTTATTTACTTTTTATTATTCCATGTCTGAATTTTGCTGGGAAGCATTAATTTGCTCTCAAAATGTTCCCAGAGCCACAGATTTAAACTTGGCACAACTACAGATTTTTTTTAGCTGCAAATGTCTGCGAAGCAAAACATTTGTCGTAAAAGAAATCTATCGTTTTGAGATGTGAAGGTAACACCATTAAATACTGTCTTCAAACGTAACCTGCTGGGATGAGGACAGATTACTGAACACAACACCATCCTGGTTATTCACTTTGTAACGCATGCAAACTGAGAAACGATTTTTTTCATCCATGTTTTTTATCTAAAGATTACAATACACTCTATAATCAACATATGATGCTCTTCCTGGAAGGAAAGAACTGAAATCACTTGTACGGACAGCATGCCAGAGGCAACTTGTGTTTTTCTCATTTCAGGCAAACCCTAATAAAGAGACTGAATATAAAAGTTGGAAGAGAAATAGTATGCAAAAACAAGTTGTTAAGGCCCCCCCAAAACAAAAAATAAGACTTGGGAACTCTGATAACTAGAGTAGAAAGGCTCAAGAGTACTTTGAAATGCTCGGTTTACAAATAAAATCTTAATCACATAACAGAGAGAAATCTTCATGAAGTTTCATTAAGAACAAGAATATTCCAATTAAACAGCATGAAATTAACCAATTCCAATATCATTTACAGATAGTTAATAAAATTGTTTTCTACTAAAAAAGTGATTGATACAGAGTTAGGTAACTATTTTCATTTCCATCGATTTTAATATGGCACTCAAAATTCAATCTAAACGACACTCTGCTGCTTAGAAATTTAGGCTGCTCAGTTTATATACAAAAGGGAGCAATTATTTTGGCAAGAGTCAAGCATCCTGTAAATATGAAAATGGAAGAACTGAAATGGTCAAAGACAATATAAAAGTCCTAATGGATATTTAAGTAAATAAATTATTTGCACTGTTTGGCTACATTTTTAAGAAGATCTTACATTCGAAGATCAATATAGCATGATACCTGCTGTAGGCAGATGACAACTTTAAAACTTAAAGTAATAAAGAAAGGAGAAGGGAGCATGACTTACAGTATTTCAGTTGACTATGACTGGTTATTATGATTTTAAATTTATAATTTTAAAGGTATTAAAATTCAAATACACAAGTCACCAAATAAACACGTATTTATTAGCTAAGACTTAAATATCAACTGCTAATTTCCGCCACCAGTTGGAAGCTTATAAATAGTGCCTTAGAGACATGTAACAAATATTACCTGTTAAAATGCATATGATCCTATCTTTTAAGGAAGACAAACTGAACTTGAAGCAGTTCAAATGAACGATTCTTACCTTTCAAAAGCAGGCCATGAGGTCTCTTCACTTAGTTCAGAACCATCACTGCTACCTAAATTCAAAAGTTATTCTATTTTTAAAACATCAGAATTACAGTTTAAATTTCATATTTTAAAAATAAATTCTTTAATTGTACTTATAAAATGACAGTCATGTTATCTGTGGGTGAACATCCACATATTAATTCTTCATTCTAGTATTAATGCTGCTAGGCTCATTCGCAGTATGTTGGAATCTGGTTGACAAGACTATCTAAAATAACAAAATAGCATAAAGACATTTTTGTAGAACTACTTATAGCTCAGATTCATTATGTTAATAAACAATTTTCTACCATCAGAGAATGTACCATAAGCACAAAATTTTTCAAAATTTCAAAATTTTGTCAAAATTTAAGACCAATATAATTGTGAAATTCTTAGAGGTTCATGCTATACTTTCCCTTTTGTATTCCTTTTAAAACCTTTTACTACCCTAAGGATAAAAAGCTTAATGAAATTTAATTTTTGCCTTCAGAGGCAATGTAGAACAGGATGGAATCCCTAAATTAAAAAAAAAAAATCGTGCTGTAACAATCTAAAAACTTTCTCTTTATAGCCAGAATAGCAGTTAAAATAAGTTTTACGTTAGCTAAAGAAAAAACTGAGGGGAATAAATTTGGAAAGTCCAAAACAGCTTACACTGATTTAAAAGTTTAAAGATGGGCGCCTGGGTGGCTCAGTTGGTTAAGCAACTGCCTTCGGCTCAGGTCATGATCCTGGAGTCCCAGGATCGAGTCCCACATCGGGCTCCCTGCTTGGCAGGGAGTCTGCTTCTCCCTCTGACCCTCCCCCCTCTCATGCGCTCGCTCTCTCCTCTCATCCTCTCTCTCAAATAAAAAAAATAAAAATAAAAAAAAAAATTTAAAAGTTTAAAGATAATTCTGGCTCTCAACAAAACTGATGATTAATCTGTCCCTTATATATCAAGTTGAACTGTCTATCAGACCTTTCATACCAGTGTTCCATAAGAGACACAAACTCCAATGCTAAAAGGTACGCATTGTATGTGATGGATTAAACCTTGTTTATGTATTTAGAGTGGTACTAGTTACATATATACTATCCTTGGAAAAACTGAGTAACAGTAACAGAAAAAATTTTCTTTGTTGTGTGGTTCAGATGAGAAACTGGAACTATTCTGTTGGTAGTGGTAGGGTCTTATAGATTCTCTTTTGATTTGTAGCATTATGTGGTAAAGACTGAAAATCAATCAATCAAAATAAAAGTTTTTCTACAAGCATGAAACTCAGACTGGGTATGCTTCTCTTAGCTAGGCAAGACTTTTATCTAAGAGTTTGTACCACATTAGAAAATGTTAAAGGCCACCATCCCAAGCACTGGTTAATTTCTCTGTAGTACCTTCTCAAAATCTCCATGGGATAGACTGATAGTGTATATTAAAGTTACAGCTAAGGAAAAAAACCTTTTGTGATTATAAACTGTGTGTGTGTGTGTGTGTAACATCTACCACTTATGGTTATAAATATACTTTCCTTCCAGAATATATAGCTTTAAAACAATAAACCATGCAAGGTAATGTCTATGTCTAATGTTCTAATTTATAAACAAGGATTTAACATTACCCACTTAACAGTCTTAAAATAAAAAATAAATACAAAGGCAAAAATTAGTCTCTTCCTTTTTTGAAAAAGATTTTTTATTCGTAAGTTATCTCTACACCCAATGTGGGGCTTGAACTCGCAACCCCAAGATCAAGAGTTGCACACTCTACCAACTAAGTCAGTCAGGTGTCCCTAAAATAGTTTTTCCTGTTCTAAAAGAAAGGCCTCCATATTGAGACACTAACTGTAACTGAACGAAATAACGAGATAAATAACTATCTTGTGATATCCAAAAGAACATCAGTGGAAAGTAAAAGCCACAAATAAAGAATTATTATAAAATTCATGATGGGGAAAAGTCAAATATTATATTATATATTTAATTGAGAGCTGTAATTTAAAAAATTATTATTTTTTGGTTTAAGTGGCATGCCAGATTCCATAGTGTAACAAATTTACTAATTTAATGGGAAGAAAGTTCTTTTTCTCTTTTGCAAAATTACTCTGCGTATTGTTTTCAAGTTGACTGTGATATTTGCATAATGACAGCTTATAGCATTAATGAAGAGGTATTTGAGGGGCCAACTTGTCTTCTATTTTGTGAATTTTGTCATCATATAATCATTTGCACTTTGGAATTAAAAAACTGCTGAATGGTGCTGGAAAGTTCTAAATCAATTTTGTTTACAGGGTTTGGAACTCTCAAGGGTTAAGGAAGTCAATTTGTTTAAGAAAATGAACTCCTTGAATTTCTTTCTATTGACTATGCATCAGTATTGAGATGATCCTATTAATAATAACAGGCTTAGCCCCTGAGCAACCTGGCACTTAACCAGAGAGGAAGATATTTTCTTCCTTTATTCCTTTTTAAAAATAAGAAGGTTTTTCTAATAATCAAAAGAAATAATGCTCATTTAAAATATTCAGAAAATAAAGAAGTTTAGGAAGTAATAACAAATTTTCCTCACAACCTCACATCCCTTTCCAGTATGGTTGCGATTTTCTGGTCCCCTTCATCTCTATTCCCTGGCCTCTCATTCTCCGATCTACTCCAATCAGGGCTCTGACTCCACTATTCTACGAAGCAACTCTTATCAAGGTCACAATGACTTCTATCTTGCCAAATGCAGTGGTCAATTCCCATTCTCTTCTTTTCTTTTTCTTGCATTTGATAGTGATACATTATTAAATACTTCCCTCTTCCTGGAGATACTTCCTCTACTGGGCTTTTGTGATACCACACCCTGATTTTTATGGCTGTTTCACTGATCCCTCCTTCATATTTCCTTTGATGGCTCATCTTCTTTAAAAAAAAAAAAGTACTAGGGGCACCTAGGTGGTGCAGTAGGTTAAGCATCCAACTCTTGGTTTCAGGTCAGGTTGTGATCTCATGGTCATGAGATCGAGCCCTGTTGTCAGGCTCTGCGCTCAGCACGGAGTGTGCTTGAGATCCTCTCTCCTCCCTCTGCCCCTCCTGCTCATGTGCTCTCTCTCTAAAATAAATCAATCTTAAAAAAATAAATAAATAAAAATAATTAAACAGACCTCTAAATGTTAGCATGTCTTATTTATTTACATTCTCTTCCTTGGTGACCTCAACCAATCCCATGGCTTGAAATACTATGCTACATAGGCGAACTCCTATGCTTTATATCTACAGACCTAACCTGACCCCACTGAGCTCAAGTGTCATATATTTAGTTACCTATCAGACAACTCCATGTGGACCAAACATGTCCAAAACAGGATTCCTAACTCCTCAAACCCAGTCATCCTTCACAAATACCTCACCACCTACAAATGTTTGCTCTTCTGGTCTTTTCTATCATGGCAATAGTACTAACATCCAGAAACGGGGAGTACACCCACTCTACCCCTTTTCTCATTCCTACAACCAAACTGCATGATGTAACCAATTCAAACAGTCCACCTTCTTTTCCCATCATTCCTCAAATGCCTCCCCTTTTGGAGTCAAAAACATTAAGCAGCTTTTAAAACACCATGATTTATTAACTTTAGTAGGTACTAGTAAGATGATCCTGTATCTGATTGCTACTTTGCTTTTATCAAATTTTCTCTATGTATATTAGGGTTAATGACTTTTTTCCAGCTGAGTTTTAAATCTCATTTTCATAAATTGAATCCTCTCAGAGTAGTATTTCTCACCTATTGATATTCCACTAGAAAGAGTAGAACTTTCAGCTTGGCCTCGAGATGGTGCATGGGGCTCCATGACGCTGTCATCTAATAGATGCCTTGGCCCTGCATTTGGGAACGTTGCACTCTTAAACTCGGCTGTGTTCATTTTATGAATGAAACTGGAAACAAAGAGAAATATTTTTCATATCTTTTACTATTGTTGTTAATTCAAGATATAAAAGATACTCTTAAAGATGCAAGATACAGAACATTTACCTGCTATCCTAAACTGACTTCTGAATTCTCATACTAATAAACACTCAGATTTTACCATAAAAGCCTCAATTAACAGTTTAGGGAAAGTATTTTAGGAAACCAGACCAGGCCAGAGATAATATTTTAATTTCATCTTGAGTCTCAGGTCCATTAAAAAACTGTTTCACATTTACTTTTGGAAAATAGCTATTTTAAAAATCATGGCAAAGGTGAACTATGGGCCCCATTTTGAGTAAACGATCTTGCAAAGGTAATGATGTTAAACAAAAAAATCAGCTTCCTTTTCATTATATTTAGGAATAAAAGGAGTAATTTTTTTTTTCCCCAAAAGATTTTATTTGACAGAGAGAGTGAGCACAAGTAGGCAGAGCGGCAGGCAGACGGAGAGGGAGAAGCAGACTCCCGGCTGAGCAGGGAGCCTGACAAGGGACGCGATCCCAGGACCCTGGGATCATGACCTGAGCTGAAGGCAGATGCTTAACGACTGAGCCACCCAGGCGCCCTAAAAGGAGTAATTTTTATAGACCTTTATTTATGGTAACTTATTTTGATTAAGACAAGCAATGACTGTTTTGCTGTAAAAGTTGTAGATTTAAAAGGAAAATGGGATATTGCTTTCCTGACTTTATGATGATACTCTGTAATATAGTTCATTTATCTCCCCCAAAGGTAAGTAAGCAGTGGGAGAAGCTTATTTCCAAATTAAGGTAAAGGAAAAACTAAATGCTTCTAGGCAAACAAAATATTTTACTGAATCAGGAAAAAAACTACTGTTACACAAATAAAACGTTTAACCAATAAAATACATAGAAAATAAATCCGGCTGGAAACAACTTAAAAATCTGAAAGATAAAATGAAAAATGCTGACTTATAGCCCAAGCTATGGCACTTCCTGTGTCCATGTGGAATCAAGTTCCGAGGGGACGGCGGTGTCTGTGGTAGCAGGGCTCCTTCAGCTGCCACACTTTTTCTTCCACTTTGCGGAGATGCTCCTACTTCAGGACCTAGCAGTTAAATGCAAAAAAGAGAGAGAGAAATCTTCATATTGTTTCAAAAGATTGTTTTCTTTTTAATCCCTTGATAAAAAATATAAAACGTGGTTTAAATTTTAAGATAATAATATTGTTAATTCTATTTAACTGACCGAACATTAAAATAGAAGAGATGGGCTCAGGATATCACTTCGCAGATAAAGCCTGGACTAACTGCTCAGAGGAGTCCCAGTTCAGTGCTCATTTAATTTTTAAAAAAATTTTTTAAACAAGATTTTATTTATTCATTTGAGAGAACGAGTGTGTGCACAAGCAGGGGGAGTGGCAGAGGGAGAGGGAGAAGCAGACTCCCCACTGAGCAGGGAGCCCAACATGGGGCTCAATCCCAGGACCCTGGGATCATGACCTGAGCTGAAGGTAGATGCTTAACCAACTGAGCCACCCAGGCATCCCAGTGCTCATTTAATTTTACGCATTGCTTCTCTCTCTTAGTTTCAGCTTCTTCTTGGAGAAAGAGCATGTAGGGCAGGTCAAGCATTCAAATTGAAATTTCAATCTATATTGACACTGTTCAGACTTATGGGAGTTAAAAAACCAGAACTTGAAAAGTACACAGATTTGCAAAATAGCACTTTAACAATGAAAACAAAAGCAAATTTAAGAGATTCAGACTGCCATGTTTTCCACTGCTTATAATACTCTTCCCCTAGATATCATCATGGCTTGTTCCCTTGCTTCCTCCACATCTTATTGGATGGGCCTCCAAATACTTACAGGGTATGTAATATTATGAAGCTTAGTGCCAAAGTCTGCTTTTGAAATTTAAAAAAAGGTACTTATTAATAATTTCTTAAATAATGAACAATTCTCTCCAATTTTATGTTTTTAATTATGTGTGGTATGCATATATTACCCCCATTATAATGTAACAGGTAAATTATGGGACTGTGACTATTTTTTATTGTACTTGGCCCAGTATTAGAGTGAAATTTCTAAAATGTTACTAAAACTGGTTTCTATATTCAAATCAGTAAAATTTTCCACTCAGACCACAGAAATTTTAATGTAATCAATCTTCATTCACCAGGACAGTGTATTCTTTTTTTTTTTTTTTTTTTTAAGATTTTATTTATTTGAGAGAGAGAGAGAGAGAGATCACAAGCAGGGGTGGGGGTGAGGGGGTAGAAGGAGAAGCAACTCGCCACTAAGCAGGGAGCCCAATGTGGGACTCTATCCCAAGACCCTGGGAACATGACCTGAGCCGAAGGCAGACGTTTAACCGACTGAGCCACCCAGGTGCCCCAAGACAGTGTATTCTTAATAAAAAAAAGAACAGATATTCATAAACACTTATCTATTTTTCGTTTGTTGTATCTGTTTTCCTTAATTAGTTTGTACATTACTGCATACTCCAAGTAACAACTTCTTAATTAAAAAACAAATGAAAAAATCCAAAGAAGTGATATATTTTAACACCAAAAATAAATTTTTACATGCATTATAAAATGTGCTAAGTATTTATTTACTTTGGAACATATTCTTTCTTTTTAGGTTATCTGATTTATTATTCAGTAGTCAGAAAAAACTATGCACTAACCTACTAAATCTTCTCTCGAAGCAGCAGAGCGTGGTGTGCTTGTCCCTGGTTCTATCTTTAACGAAAGCCTGAATTTTAAAAAGAAACAAAACATATAAAATGATTAATATTTGACAATATTAAAATTATGTATTTCCTCAGGAAAAAATTAAGCATTTTGATAAAATAATGTTATATATATTTTTTCAAGAGCAATCTTTAATAATAGTACATCTCATCTCCTTCATACAAAGCATATCTTACAGTTATTCTAGGAAATATCAGGGAGGGGAAAAAAACTTTAAAAAGTTATATTTAAAAACAGAAAAATCTCCCTAAACTACCCTAATGTTGTCAAATGGTTCAACACATTTAAAGATATTTGATGGAGGACTAAAAAGTGATTTAACTTGAGGTTATATTGATACCTGACAAATTCAGGAATTTTCATGTACATTACTAAATGTATTACACAAATTAGTTCTAGAATCTTTACTGGATGGATAAATGGCTTCTGAAGCACTGAAAATTTCCAAAACATCCCCCAAAACAACAAATTCAACTTCTTAAAAGATCTTGAATAATAAAAAAGTTGTTTGCAAAATTCCTGGTAAATCCCTGTCCTAAGCCTAAGTTTATTAACTTAAGTTCCATTTAGGATAATATATCCACTTTTGAGTTCCACAGCAAAGAGAGATTATGACTCCTATCAGTGGAAATTATTTCAGGAAATATGATAGTAAAGCAGTTGTAGAAAATACTTTGGTATAGTCCACAAAGCACATTATTACTAAGTATTTGTCTAAATATTAGTACTTTTTAAGAAAGCATTCTACCAACTGGGGTTTTTTAATGAAATTGCACAATACAAGTGATATTCATCATGATAAATCTATTATAGGTTCTCAACTTATTTCCTTGATAACCTCATAGGGGATTCCATACGATTATATTCCAATTATTTGGCAGTGTAAAATGCAGTACTGAACGGATATATGATGAACTAGAACTCTGCTCTTTTTCTTTCTACAGAGCAGTTTACTTTAGTACTTTGGGCTACAGACCATACTGAATTCATTCACTTGATAAAGAGTTACTGAACACCTGTTCTGTGTTGGGCACTGTACTCTCTGTACTGTGCTCTTTGCACTGGAATAGAACAGAGACTAAGGCAGACATGGTATCCCTGCCCTTCTGAGGCTTACAGTTTAGTATGTGGAGGACACAGAAGTAAACAAAATAACTACAATTTCTTAATCAGAACTGCAATAGAAAGGAACAGAAAGGAAGCTCTGGGTGCATCACACTGCCGTCAGTGGTATAAAAAGCAGAAGCATCTTAAAGCACAGCAGTGAAGTCAGAGGTCGGCTGCCTATGTCATCATCAAAACACCATTCAGTAACAGTGATGCTGGTTCACTGAGAAAAAGATGATGTTCAGGATTAAAGGGAAGGAACTGTGAAAGATTTTCATCCTGATTAAAAAACACGCATTCATTTGTAGTGTCTATACTGGTTGCCTATATAGATGAAGCTGCCAAAAAAACAGAGACCTTGGGATAAACAGTGTCATTTTTATTTAAATCTCTCTCATCATAAAAACCATTTTTTCTAATCCTTTTAATAGCTTTTATCTTAAAATGATGATTCTCAGCACACTGAATTAATAAGTCTGCAACACAACCGCGTCTTTAAAAACTGTCTTCTTCAGTCTCCCATCTGATGTCCCAACACCACCAAATGACTTATGTTCCCCCAATCAAAACCACTGCTTCCCACCCTAATCCTTGGATCATTCCACCCCCGGGAACACTTTTCCTCACCCTCTATGCGGAGATATCTCCTTGACTCACCTGTTAAGATTAATAAGCTCAGGTGACACTGTCTCCTGAAGCCATTCATGTTTCTTTTTTCCTCATTTTTCCCACTTAAAGCTGAGTTAGGTCTCCCCCCAGATCTACGTTCCTACAGCATCCTGGGCATATCTCATATATCACAGTAATGTTTGAACTGCTTTGTCATCATCTGTTTTGTGGCCGTGTTTTGTATGAGACTGAGCTTCTTAAGGGCAAGAACAAGATTTTGTTTTTGTAATCCTGGCACCTAGCACAATAACTCACCTATGGCAAAAGCTTAGTAAGTATTTGTTAAAATGAATATAATGGGAAGGCTATTCTGGTTCTAGCCACTCATGAAAACAAAAATCAGTACAACAGCATCAGGTTTTCCTTCAAAAATGAAGGTATCTTACATCGGTTTACAGACAGTTAAAACGACTTAATGGCTTAATTGGCTACTATATCCTTTTAGCAAAGTAAAAATTAGCTCAAATAAACACTTTTACTTTCACCACAGTCAATAAAAATTTACCATCCTCTATAACTGTGCAACAATTTCTTAGGCTTCACTTCTATTGAACAGTTTAACTTCTTTTAAATCCAACAAGTTTGAGCCAGATATAGAAATTTTTAACTACTCAATCATATTTTAAGTTTTAAGATAATCTTCTGTATCTCACTGGACAAAACATGAGAGTTTTGTGCTATGTCAGTGATTAGAGCTTAGATGGAAGAAACAGTGGTAAATATAAGATATAGACCATCAAACTCAGGAAGCTCATAACCTAGGGCAACAACAGATTTATGAAAAAACTGCAGCCTTAAAAAGCTCATACATTTTCAAATGAACTACTATGTAACAACCTTTTATATAATAAAAACTGATAGAGAAATATAAAGTGGCAATATTATGGTGTGGGGAAAAAGATGGCAATAAAGGTGTTTTTATTTTTATTTTTAAAAAGATTTTTATTTATCTATTAGAAAGAGAGAGAGAGAGTGCACACAAGCAGGGGGAGCAGAGGTAGAGGGAGAAGCAGACTCCCCCCTGAGCAGGGAGCCCGATGTGGGACCCAATCCCAGGACCCTGGGATCATGACCTAAGCCGAAGGCAGATGCCTAATGAGCCATCTAGGTGCCCCAATAAAGGTGTTTTTAAACATTAATAAAATTTTAGATACATTTAATATATATTATCTAGAGCTTCAATCTTTAAAGAAAAGTTATTTCTAGTTATTTTCCAGAATTTCTAGCCTTTTACTGGTACTAGCTTTATTCTTCAAAAACTGTTGAAACTTAAATGGAACAAGAAGGTTGATCATCACTAGCATACAAGAAAAATATTATATACTGTATTAATAATGAAAAATAACCTAGTCTCTCACTTTAAGTTTTTTTTAAAGCTTTTTTTATTTTTTTAAGATTTTATTTATTTATTTGACAGAGAGAGAGAGAGCACAAGCAGGGGGAGAGGCAGAGGGAGAGAAAGAAGCAGGCTTCCCATTTAGCAGAGAGCCCGATGTGGAACTCGATCCCAGAACCCTGGGATCAGGACCAGAGCCAAAGGCAGATGCTCAACCAAGTGAGCCACCCAGGCGCCCCTCACTTTGAAAAGTTCTTAACGTTAAGTATGTGTATGTTCCTTTTATTAGAAAAATATTCGTGAAAGACACAAAGTTAAATTTGAAAGCTTGGGAATAACTGGCATAATAAAGCTAAGCAAAAATATTTTTTATTGGCAATTAACAAATGAAGTCACAAGAAGCATCAGAAGCCTCAAGAGAAATAAGAGCTTTATCCTCCCATCTTTTGAAAAGAAAAACAAAACAACAAAAAAACCAGAAACAAAACAAAAACAAAAAACAAAAAAAACCCCTGCAGTTAAGATGTACAGTATACCATTGAAAATAAAAAGGGTAAAAACTTAAAAATCCTTCCCACCTTGGGCAGAATTGTGGATGTCAAGGAGAAGGAAATGGGCAGCTGTATTTTAAAAGCGATTTAAAATTTTTTTTTTTAATTTAAAGTGATTTTTAAAATCTTTAATAAAGGACTTGCTATAATAGAGAAAGGGGTAAGTGTGGTGCTGGACATGTCTCTACCCTAGAGGTAAGAAGGTTCAATATTCTCTCAATCCACAAAAACAATTAAAAACAAATTCAAAGATGTGTCAAAATTACCATTACAAAAGGAGTAATTTCCTATTTGTAGACAGTTTCATTAATTTTTCAATTATGAATTTCCATAAAGATTCAATGTTTGAATATAAAGAAAGGAAGACATTTATACTAGATCTAACATCAGCTCTCAACAACTTGAGAAAAGTGAAATATTTTTTTTTTTTTTTAAGATTTTATTTATTTATTTGAGACAGAGAGAGCACATGAGAGGGGGGAGGGTCAGAGGCAGAAGCAGGCTCCCTGCTGAGCAGGGAGCCCGATGCGGGACTCAATCCAGGGACTCCAGGATCATGACCTGAGCCGAAGGAAGTCGCTTAACCAACTGAGCCACCCAGGTGCCCCAAGAAAAGTGAAATATTTTTAAACAAAAGAACAGATGAGGTATTTGTATATTGTCTCAATCATATCAAGTGATTAAAAAGAAATACATAAAAAAATAAAAAGAAATACAAATACTTTAACCACTGTAAACATATACCTGGATTAGGCATTTGCATGATACGATGTAAAATTCAAATGTTTAAACACATGGGGACAAAAGGGTAGAAGACAGGACAGTTAAACAAACCACTTTTGAAGATCCAACCTACTTGTAATTATCATCTTCCACAAACTTCTGTAGTTCTTCTATATACTGAACAGAGTTCAGATATTTTTGGACATGAGGCAACATGGGGATATCTAGGCAAAATGTGACAAATAATTATCTGACACAGTATATCTTTAACCAGAATTTTAAATCATGGCACCAAAATTTAAATTAACTCTAGAAGGACACTACTGAGGTAGATTTTATTTAATGTAAAACTGATGGTAATTTAAAAAATTACAGTTGCATGTTGGTTGTATAGATTAAAAAAAAAAACAACCACCACCACCAAACATACTCTGGTTTCTTTTCAGATCATATATTAAAAAAAAAAAAAAAAAAAAAAAATCAAACAGCTCCATTTACAAAATCCCACATATCTGATAAACTTCCTCTCTGCAGCCCCCCCCCCCCCTTTTAGGAAGTTTTTAAGGCTTTCTTAAAAGTATACACGCACATAAAATAGCTTTAAGACAAATCTATTTTTAAAAAATATTTTATTTATTTATTTGACCCAGAGAGAGAGACAGCGAGAGAGGGAAAACAAGCAGGGGCAGAGGGAGAGGGAGAAGCAGGCTTCCCGCAGAGCAGGGAGCCCTATGTGGGGCTCGATCCCAGCACCCTGGGGTTGTAACCTGAGCTGAAGGCAGACGCTTAACGACTGAGCCACCCAGGCGCCCCAAGACAAATCTATTTTAAATAAATTGGATAATGTAAACTCACTGTTTAAAAGTATATACCAATAAGGGTATCTTTATTCCCTTTCAAACTGAAAGCATTCAAACATTATAAAACATTTAAAAAAAAATGCATCCCCTTTGCTCATCATCTGGGCTTGTGTAAGCACTTTCTACATATGTGTTTCCATAAAATACCCCTTGAACAAAAAATTGGTTATTTAGTCAATAATGAACCGAAGAAAGCTAGTCAGTTGTTACAAGGATCACAGGTCTTAGCTCCTTCCCTAACTGAATAATATAAGAACTATTCACATAACAGATCAGGGATATCAAGTGAGATGGAAGATAACAGAAAATAATTTTATAAATTATGTTAGCAAAGTGGCTACAAAAAGAGCAAAAGATAAAACTTAAAATTTTAAATATGACATACTTTAATTCCTTAAAAGCAAGATCTCAAACAGGAGGCTAAATATTAAACAATCATATTTTCCTTTATATTAGGATGATGTTCCCTGCTGTGTGAAAAATGGCTATCAATTCAGGTAAATGAATCAACAGAATCACAGCGTAATGGTGTAGTATTACTCCCCAGAAACGTACCATAGTCACAGGACTGCTGTAAATCAGAAATTATTCGAAGGATGTTATTCATCAAATTTGATCTTTGCTCATTTTCTAGAATGCTGCCAGTTGATGGGTATGCTGAATCAATGTATGTTAAATCTGACAAATAGATACCTGAAACAAAATGAGATAAATGAGTGTTTTTTACTTGTAGTTTGAAAGACTATGATAAAATGAAGAAGAAAAAAAGCTAATTTATAGCTGTATTTTAATATATGCTGTATTTAGGATTTATTGTTATTTAATACACCACAGCCTTATTAAAACATAATCACTGAGGCCTAGAATTCCATGGATCTGGGGTCAGACATGTAAATAATGTTTTTGTAAATGTTCTCTTATGATTCCATTTTTGTTTTTATTTATTTATATTTTAAAGTTTATTTATTTATGATCTCTACACCCAACGTGGGGGCTCGAACTCACAACCCTGAGAGTCATGTGCTCTACCGACTGATCCAGCCAGGCACCTCTGATTAGCTTTAGGACAGTTCACATGGCATTAGACATGAAGTGTTTGTATACTGTCTTGTTTTGAAGACTGACAGGTAAATTTCTGAAACCGTGTATGTGACAACAAATTGAAGTTAACTATTCCTCCTGCCTCGACCCCACTGCCCCATTTCTCTGTACCAACAAAAATAACATAACCTCCAAAATAACTTGGTACTACCAGTTCTAGATATGCAAGGCCACACATGTGAAGTGTATAAGACAACTACAGTTAAAGAGAAAAATATACTTTCCTACTTTTTACCTCATAACCCCACATTCATGAACTCTCAAAAAAAAAACAAAACAAAACACAACTGCTGTACCACATACACCGCCTTCCACAAAAGCCCTATGTTTTTTTTTTCTCATGCCATTTCTTTCATCTTGACTGTTTCTGAGACTCATCTGTCCATCCCAATTATATTTTATATCCAGGTCAGTGTCAACTGTTCTTTAGTTTTCTCATAGATTCCAAGAGAGGAATTTAGAAACTGTCTAGTCTAACTCCCTCTTTTTATAGGTGAAGAATCTGAGGTCCACAGATATTAAAGGATAATGCTATGAACTGTTAGTAATAGAGCTGGAGCTCAGAGTGTACACCTGTGCCCTCGTTTCTCTACTACATGCTGTTATAAATTCATACAGTATCTATAGTACCATTCACTTGGTAATTTTTATGACTTTATAATGTTTAAACTCTCGTACTTGTATCTTATCTGTTCATGACTATAAACTCATTTAAGGTAGTTGCTCTATTTTGCACTCCAAGAAAATGAAAATCTGTGCAGTGTTTTGACAATAGGTGCTTAAAACAACCTAAAAATCCTTTTCCTCATCTTACTCATTCCTTTTCCATTCAGGAAATCTTAATGGTATTCTCTAAACCATCTATCATAAATACTTCCTTTTCTTTAAAGACTCTCAACTTCTTTTTTATAGTGACTTCAAATGAACCTTTAGCTTAGCTGCTTTTCCTTCAATCTCAGAGCAGGAAGAATCCCTTTCTCCTCTCCAAATACACACTGTGACTTTGAATGTAATCCCAACAGCCTCCTTTACAGCCCCTGCTGTTAGCCCCCCTGTCCCTCACCCGCCAGGGGCTCCCCTCCTGGAGCCAATGCAAACCTTTACACCTCTCCTGAAGAAAACAAAATCAAGGTAACCCTCTGTTCAAATCTGAATCCCTCCTCCAGAGAGGACCCCTGCCCCTCTATCTGTAACAAACACCTTGATATTGTATGGTGACTAACATAATAAAATTAAATTAAATTAAAAAACCCAAACACCTTGAAAGAGAAACAAGACGAGTCCACTTAACTTATCTTATCCTTCATCTCTTTTTAATGAGATATGACACATATAAAAGTGTACATGTGTCAGGAAAAATTACGATAGACTCTGAAATAGGCAAAAAAAATTACCAGGTGTCCTGTCTTCTGGGCTTTTTGAGCTATTTGACAACTCAGTAAGTTTTTGAAAACTAGTAATAATACAAATTCCTGTCCATAAAAATGCCAATGCCTTATGTCCAGTAAAATCTAATAATGCTCTATGGAAGCTGACCAGTGTTGCAACTCTGTGTGAATTCATTTTAGCATTCTTTAGTGCCTATCTGGTATGTGTGGTACTTTGAATTCTCTCCTGAAATGGTTGCAGTATCTTCCTGATTCCCTTATAAATTTAATGATTTAAATAAAACCGTGACATGTATTCATTTTGTATTTGTGTAAGAATCATGATTTTACCATTTAAAAAAGTATACTCTAACCCATGTAATATTGGTTGTTATCAAACAATATAATAAATACTGGTGAATGACCAGGTAAGTTAAGAAGTACATCACTAGTACTGTTTGTCTCCTGTATCATCTCCCTGCCTCCCATCCAGAGGTAACTAACCATTATTCCAAAACTTAAGATTATTCCTTTTTTTTTCAAGACATATGTACAATGTATTTACTCTTGCTTATTTTTGAGCTTTAAAAAAAATCACATTTTATACATGTGTGATTAAATTCAATGATAACATCAGTAAACATAGGTACACAATAAGTAATTTATAGGTGTTTGTTAAATTTTTAAAAATATGGCCTTCTGTGATTGCTGTGTCTCACCATTTTGTTTCCAGGAGTTATTTGTATTGTTAAATCAGCTGTAATTCCTTATACTGAGAATAACTTAACATGTAACTGTATCACAATTTACTTACTCATTTGACAGATTTTTAAGTTACTTCTTCCCTCCCTCCATGTTGCTATTGACATTCTTACAAATTATCTCCTGGGATACATATAAAAGAATTTCCCTAGGAGATATATATATATATATATGGCATTTATATGGTATATTAATGTTCAACTTTACATTGTTTTTTAAAGCTTTATCAACTCACACTGCCACTGATAGCATGTAAGTTTCTCCTGATCCACACTTGTGCTACACTTGATATATCAGTCTTCTTGACTTTTGCCAATCTTGAGGTATAAAATAATATTGTGTTTTAAGTTTCATTGCCTTGACTGGTAATGAGGTTATGCATTTGTATTTCTATGAAATGTCTTTTATCCATTTTTTCTCTGAGTTGTCTCTTTCTTATTGATTTCTAAGTTCTTCTTAATATATTGCAGAAACCGATCCACTTGGCAGTTAAATTTTATACACTTTTCAACCCACTATATAGTTTGAAATTTGGGGTGCCTGAGTGGCTCAGTCGGTTGAGCGCCTGCCTTCAGCTCAGTTCATGACCCCAGGGTCCTGAGATCGAGTCCCACATCAGGCTTATCCCTCTGCCTCTGCCCCTCCCCCTGCTTGTGCACTCTCTCTCAAATAGATGAATAAAATCTTTAAAAAAAATATATAGTCTGAAATCTGCATCTTGCTGCTGAAACTTATTCTAGCAAAGGTATGAGGGACCTGTTCATTATTAAATCTTTACTTTTATTTTTTAAAGATTTTATTTATTTATTCAACAGAGAGAGAGAATGAGCAGGGAGAGTGGCAGAGAGGGAAAAGCAGACTCTCCACTAAGCAGGGAGCCCGATGCGGGGCTCTATCCCAGTACCCTGGGATCATGACCTGAGCTGAAGGCAGGTGCTTAACTGACTGAGCCACCCAGGCACCCCTGTCCTAATGTCTTAATGACTGAGCCACCCAGGCGTCCCATTATTAAATCTTTAAACATCTCTCTTGGTCTCCTCCTGCTGCTTATTAGTGTCTCAGCAGTATTTTTTATCATTCCCTTTGTTCCTTGGGGCTTTACCAGCTCTATTGGCTTGAACCTTCCTACCTTCCCACACCCCCTCCATTCTCCTTTTTCCTCATGTTCCCTAGAAGTTGGTGTTCTCCATGATTCTACCATTAATCTCACTCTGCATGTACTTTTTCTGGATTATCTTATTTCTGTAGCCTCAACCATCACCTAATTGCCGATGACTTTCCAAGTCTCTCTTTAGAACTGAAATATTAACTTTAATTTTCAATTTAACATGCCAAACTAATCATTATTAGTCTCAAAACACCTTACATCCCAACTTCTTACCTTGGTTAGTGATATTACTAATTGTTAAAATTAGAAAGTTCAAAACCACTCAAGTAAAAAAGCTTAGGAGAAAACTACTATCTTGTATTTTCCCCCCAGATTAAGCTATTAGTGAATACAAGAGTGAATACAAGAGGATCAAGTAATACTAAATGATCAAGTAATGTATTACATAACACATACCAGAAGCCAAAAGCTGGCATTCCATCTGTCCCAATGTTTTTTTTTAAGATTTTATTTATTCATTTGACAGAGAGAGCGAGAGAGAGACAGAGAAGAAGCATAAGCAGGGGTAAAAGCAGGCAAAGGGAGAAGCAGGCTTCCTGCCGAGCAGGGAGCCCTATGTGGGGCTCGATCCCAGGACCCTGGTAACATGACCTGAGCCGAAGGCAGCCGCTTAACCGACTGAGCCACCCAGGCGCCCCTGTCCCAATGTTTCTAAAACCAGGAAATATCATAGGAAATATCTAAGTGACTTTCTCTTCCTAAAAAATGGGGAGATCTGGCAACAATGAAGTACAGCTGAAAAGGGTGCAGATCCCACTGTATTAACCTTAAGGATGCCGGTTTGTCCTAACTCTCATTTTCCTTTGCTATCTTACTTCAGGTTTATTTCACTTACTTACAGTACCTCCCTTGTTCTTGTGAGCATTTGTCGTTGTAGCCCTTGAGTTTGCAACCCCTGGTATACTTACATATATCACAGAATTTAAAAAAATGATTCTGTGAAAGAGGTTGAAACTGGGCTTTAAATAAAGAGTGTCGATCAACAAAGGGACAATGGTAGAATCTATCAGAAAGAAAAAACAGCTAAGGCAACAAGGAGGGGAAAGCACAACGTGAATTAGAAGCTCCCCAAATTTTACCTAGAAGCAGCAATCAGTAATTACAGAACCCAAGGAGAGACAGTGGCATAATGCTTTGGAATTAGATTCAAACCCTAGTTCTACTACTTAGTAGTGAAGTATCCAATCAGTTAAGATGCCCCAATTTTTGTTTCATTAGCTATTGAGTTACTTAATCAACATTTCTGGGTTTAATGAAATATAATAGCACAGTTAGTACTGAACAGTTACTAATTC